GCTTGCTACCATGATAGTCTTTGCCTATAAAATTACAAACGTCAGGAAAACGTTAACTTGTAAAAGAATACATAAAAGAATGAAATTCGTTTGGTCTAATGGCAATAGTCAAAATATTGAAAGCTCTAGCTAGAAGAAAGAAAGAGTTTGGCAGCAATACACACATATCTCATACATTATACATTGAAATTCCATTTATAATAAAGCTGGAACCTTTGATCAGTAAAAACTATTGAATACTAGAAATTTGAGATGGCTAAAAGCTTAATTTAAGCAAGAACACTTCTTCATCAACTCTTCACCTTTTTCCCTAAATGGATGGAACAACTCACGGTTAATCTACTTCTAAGCGGTTTCTAAAGCATATAATCAATGTAAATACTACTATCCAGTCTCAAACCTAAGGCTGGAATTTCAATATGGTATAGTCGGATTAATGACTACTTTGCGGCAGAACTAGGTCGGTTGATAGTACCTACGCGTGTGGGCTCACGATATGCTGATCAATAAACACACATTAACGAAACAATAAGTCAAATACAACAACAAATCATTTAGTAATTTAAACTAAATGAAATTTAATCTCAAGAGGTCGCTTGATGAACCTATTAGAGACACGTTCTGTCCTTATTATTGACGATCAGTTTCAGATATGTTTGAAAGAGATAAAATTTGTTCTGATTAATAAAGTCGATGTGCCTTGTCATGATTCTCCGCAGCAGATGGTGAGAAACACTAAATAGGGTAGCTTACCCTTTTAAAAACTGTTTAAAAATAAATTACTTGTGTGCACGGCGCGGCGGTCGTGTTGATAAAAAATAATGCTCCTCATACAGAGCCCGGTATTTTCGATGACAGCGAAACTCAAACAAGCCCACGTGCTGTGCCTGTTGTTTGGTCTGAGTTGAGAGATGTGAGCGTTCACAAAAATTGGGTATTATAGTAATAAATACAACTGAAACCCTTTGTGGATATAATCTCGCTTTTTATTCAGATAAGGTTTCGTAGAGCTTCGTATTTATTTACCAAAAGAAAGTATTCTAAAAATATATGATATAAATATGTAGTATAAAAATTTCTTATATATACTCCGTCTTTGTCGTCATCCTCACTGACTACTTTTGTTTTTAGTGACAGTTCCAATATAACATATATTAACAAAATATTGTTATAAGTAGAATATTTCTGTAACTGTACTAACACAAAGATATAAATAAATTCAGCAGGGATGACACTTTCATCTTTGTAACAAAAAATGTAATATTATGAAAAAACCTGATTTAGCACAAAGAATGAAGGAAACGAAGCGTCACGCGTTCTTTATGAAAGTAAATTTTCCGTAAAATTATTTAAATTCTATTTTACCAATTTAACTAAAAATAGTTTTACGCTTGGTATAATTGTGCGTTTATTATTATTTTCGATATTTTAAAGGGTTTACAGTTATTGCTCTCAGAAAAGTCTAAGTGTGATTCGACATTTGCATTTGTGCAAACTGTGTGTCATGGTTTTTATGTTTTTTTTTTCACTTGTTATTTAATTTGCATAGTTGAAAAAAACGGAGTTAAGAAAAAAACCCGTTAAACTTACGATAGCGGATTTGCATATAATTTTGAGTAACAATTAGCATCTAGTATTATGGAATATGATAAAAATAATCTTTCAACATTTTTAATTGATACATCTATAAGGCGTATAAATAGCCTGGCAGCGACTCACGTAAGTAAATCGCCATCGGTTCATCGCTTGGACCGCACCCGAACGGTATTTGTGCGTCAAACCATTGACGGTCAGGATGTTGTCAGCGTAAATATTTCACCGTATGAATTAACTACCATGCAATATTCACTGTTCCATTAAAACAGCATTAAATACTTGAACGATAAAGTAAACTTGTTCTCTGAAAGTGAATATCCTATTAATTATTAACAATTTAACTTTTCGGTTTTAATCCTTATACTATCCGTCAAATTTAATGGAATTTTTCAAACATTTAGTTAACTCATAGGGTATATTGAAAGCTTACAAGGATGATTGCCATTTGACGATTTCTAGCGCAAAGCTGTCATAAGAACCTACCGACTTGAACGGTGAGTCAGCCAATACACAATATATTTTTTTTTATTGCTTACATGGGTGGACGAGCTCACAGCCCACCTGATGTCAAGTGGTTACTGGAGCCCATAGACATCTACAACGTAAATGCGCCACCCACCTTGAAATATAAGTTCTAAGGTCTCAAGTATAGTTACAACGGCTGCCCTACCCTTCAAACCGAAACGCATTACTGCTTCACGGCAGAAATAGGCAGGGTGGTGGTACTTACCCGTGCGGACTCACAAGAGGTCCTACCACGATCTACCACGAGAGGTACGACCAATTAAAATTGACGCTTCGACCACACGTCTTGAGAAAAGCGGGGGCATTCTTTTTTTCATGTTTACGAACTCAACACATCAAACACAATACCATTTTATAGATTTTTGGAGTTTATTGGAGTTTACTCCTTTAGAATCGATTTACATATATAGGCCCGGGGTATGAAAATTATGGGGACCAAAATCGTACTAGCATGTCACACGAAATGCGTTATGCGCCTGATTGGCTCCTGATTGCGTGATGCGTGCGCGCGCCAATCAGGAGCCAACGCGCGGCCGCGTTATCGCAGGTGACGCCGGGCTGCTGCGCCGGCAGTCCGCCACAAAGCCTCGTACTGATCGCGCGTTTCTCTCATTATTGTATTTTCATATATTTGTTAGTCGTTTGTTTTGTGTATCGTTAATTTGTTAATAATCTGTAGTGTATCGTGTTGTCGTAATATAGAACTATTTCTCGTATTGTTTCGTTTAATTTTTTATATCCAGTAAACTCCAGTCGTGCGTCGGAGCGGACACACACACTTTTTTTTTATTAATTGAATTCATCTAATTCTCTATAAATTTACCTATTTAATTGTTATGAACTTTCTGAATTCTCTTGACCCTATCTTCTTTGTTTCCACCTTATCCCACTAGGTGGGGTTGGCACGGCAAATTCTTCTATTCCATTCTCCTCTATCAGCCGTCATCTCAACACTCACTCCTCTTTCTTACATATCGTCATTCACACATTCCATCCATGTCTTCTTCGATCGACCTCTTCCTCTACCATTTGCACTACCATTTCCATACATCTCTTAGTCACGGGCATCTCCTGCCTACGCATCACATGTTCATACCACGCTAACCATCCGCTCTTTAATTCATCAATCACTGGGGCTACTTTCATACTTCCTCTGATATACTCATTACTTATCTTGACCATTCTTATCCCTCCACACATCCATCTCAACATTTGCATCTCTGTCGCATGCCTCTTTCATGCCTTATTTTCGTCGCCCAACTTTCATATTTAAACAGCACGATATTTTTCCGACAGTCCAATAAAAAAGTCCAAGCTTCAAGAATCGATGAGGAAGTTTTGTTAAAAACCACTTTTATATAAAAGCCCGAACTAATTAGTGGAAATAAACGCTGAAAAGATTTAACAATAAAATATAACAGTATCGGTTACTAAAACTACATTTTGAATGGCCGTTTTCCTGTTAACACATCTTTAACGAGTTAAGATAGTAAATCAAAGGACGTTTACTACGCACACATTAGCAGCGTGTACGAACGCAAATAGACATCCATCTAATTCCGTCGGGTTAGATAAAGGCGCCTTGTTTAGTTGAAAATAGAGTTTGACCTACGCAAGCTTAGTATGAGCATCGATAGGTCTGCCTTCCCTCTGCTGTTTTAAATTTGTCTCAGCACTGACATTAGAAGCGTGAGTTTTAAAACGGTGTGCTTAGTGAGTGGACTTACCACTAAGCTTCTTACTTACCATTAATAAGAGGGTGAGGAATTCCAATCCCAAAAAAGTGCATTGCTTTAAACGGGATCTCTCGTTCTGCTCTACCGATTCAAAATGATATTTGATTGGCTAAATATGATTATGCCGAAGACTTTTATCCAAAAGTTTTGAGGTACCAGTACGCTGAAATCTAATAGCAATAGCAATAATGCAAGTACCTCAGTTAATTTCGAGACGGAGTTACATTTTTTTGGACACAAATGAGTTTTTTCGAAAAATTCGTCATTCATTTGAAATCATTGCGTACATTTGCACCTTTTTGGGATTTTTTTAAACAATAGAGAATACATTTACGGATACCCGGTCGATGGGGTAGTCCGACCGGGCTATGTCGGGTTCCGGTGCCTGCTACTCTTAACCTAAGAACTTAGCTTCTTAAGGTGAAATCTTAAATTCGCCATAAGAAAGGTGCTTGGGACAGCGTAAGCAGCTACAACTGTCTCACAGAACAGATACCGTCTAAACCCTACAAGAACATTCTAGCCCGACAAACGACCCAGCCCAAGACAGTCGAGAAGACACCTAGGTCTTCTTTTTAAAATAAATTATTCATGTGGTTTTCTGGGGAAAATAGTGCAGTGGTTTCCCCATATATGTATATAGTGCCCACAACACAGGGAATCCTAATTTGGGGCCGGGTGACTGAGCGTGTATTGCTCCCTCCTCCTTGCATCGGTTTCCTCATTACTGAGGGTCGTGGTCATGGCCTTGAAACAGTTTGTTTTTTATAGTGCACCGCCATCTGTTCCTATCTGCAGCTGAGTGCAGAGCATCGTGCACTGTGGTATCCAGGGCTGCTGTCTTTCCTTGCGATGTGGCCAAAGTATTCAAGTATCCTTCGCATGCAAATGGTGGAGAGTCTAGTCCGGATCTTCAACTGAGCTAGGATGGATACATTGGTGCGGCGTGCGGTCCAGGGAATACCCAACATCCTATTATTGTTCCCAGTTGTTTATTAAATAGAAATAGGCAGGGTGGTGGTACCTACACGTGCGAACTTACGAGACGCTTTTGCGGGATTGATTTTGTTTACAAAAAAACCATATGATTCCAATTAAAATCTAGCGGCCAATATTAGATGAGTATAAACCTTAAATACCTACCTGGGGTAGTGAACGCTCTCCTTCGGAGGGGGCATCGGAGTGGGGATCCTCCGGCCCCCCTTCCCGCCGGCGACACTCATCGTGACAATTGTCTTCGAAGTGGAACTGCAAAAAAAAGAATACACAATGTTAAAACACTCCAAAGAATGAGTTATGTTTTGTTATGTTGTATTTTTGTTGAATTTTCGAACTTATTTTGTACTGAAGAAAAAAATATTAACTAATCTCGATAATAACGGCAATTTAATTTAGAATCACTTTATTATCTTTTTTAAATAAATTGACCAAAGGCAATTATCAGCATTTCATGGACAAAGTGTATGATGGATAATATTGCAATTTTTCTAATGAAATACGTACTTAAGTAATGTTCACGATTGACTTCCACTGTCAAGGAATAACATCGTGTAATAAAATAACAAACCCACAAAATTATAATTTGCGTAACTACTGGTGGTAAAACCTCTTGTGAGTCCGCACGGGTAGGCACCACCACCCTGCCTATTTCTGCCGTGAAGCAGTAATGCGTTTCGGCTTGAAGGGTGGGGCAGCCGTCGTTACTATACTGAGACCTTAGAACCCATATCTCTAGGTGGGTGGCGGCATTTACGTTCTCCAGTAACCACTTAACACCAGGTGGGCTGTGAGCTCGTCCACTGAACTAAGCAATAAACAAAAACTTTGTTGACGAGGCTAAAGAAATAAATGTTCGCATTCAACACCAAACTATCCATATAGACTCACGACGAAGGAACAAAATTCTTATAATAAATACCATCAGATTTTAGCGGTACAGCATATTGTAAGTCCGAACGCGCCGATACCACTATCCCGAATGTTTCTACTATCAATGCGATCAAAAAACACCATTTTGCCCTTCAGAGCGCATGATGCTATTCAGATTATGATGTCTACAGATTCCAGAAGCAGCAAGCGACCCGACAATTCTTCAGTCATCAAATACAAATCTCACTGCTCCGACCTACATAACGCAAGCTAATCTCACACGAGTATAATTCACCAAATTTACACGTTTGAATACAATCCCGTAATCAACGCTTGTATTTGTAACATCAATATTAATGTTATTCCCGTAATCTCTATCTTTCGCTAATGAATTCATATCGCAAAAGCCCGAAAAGCCTATTTTCGTATCTCCTCACGACTAGTAATTGTGGAGTGCCGGGTGAATACCAAAATGATGGGGTAGCTGCACGGCATAGTGATACTCATGCTCTGTTATATAGAGGCTAAATTTGTCTGAGGTTTTTTTCAGAATTCGAATGTGCTGCAGACAGGGTCGGACTTGTGAAATAGTTTTTTTTTTTTTTTATTGCTTAGATTGTTGGACGAGCTCACAGCCCACCTGGTGTTAAGTAGTTACTGGAGCCCATAGATACATTACACGATGTTATTCCTTCACTGTGGAAGTCAATCGTGAAAATTTGTTGAGTACGTATTTCATTAGAAAAATTGGTACCCGCCTTCGAACAGCGGTGCATCGCTCAACACGAATGCACCGGGCGTCTTATTCTTTAGGCCACGACGACTTCAAGTAGTGACATTTATTTATTTAAACAGATTTTTTAGCTTAGCTAGCTTTAGATTATTTTTACTGGTGGTAGGACGTTTTGTAAGTCCGCACGGGTAGGTACCACCGGCCTGCCTATTTCTGCCGTGCCCACCTGGTGTTAAGTGGTTACTGGAGCCCATCTACGACGTAAATGCCACCACTTACCTTGAGATATGAGTCTCAGAATAGGTACAACGGCTGCCCCCCCCCCCCCTTCAAATCGAAACGCATTAACCGTTCCAATTCGTTACGGATGAATCCTATTCCTTGGAAGTCACCTTCATCCGTCCCTGCCTCTCCGGGCCCACTCGTCAAAGAGTAGGCACCTACCGTTCGCGCCATTGTGACGATCCGCAAAGCACCAATGCTGTGCCTCGAAGGATTGTTGCGGAAATAACGCCCGCGAGAAAAATCTCGCAGAGATATTTTTCCTTCTTTCTTTTAAGCAAGAATAGTTTATTATTACCTGCCCTAAATTTTGACATGTGGTTACTTTAATGACTACTTTCGTTCTTGGCCTTACTACTTACGAAACATAAAAATAGAAATTCACATTGGTTCTTCTGTGTGTTTATCTGCTTAGTACTGAATTCTTGAATTGTAATATCGAAAGAGTACATTCGAGTCAGGAAATGACTCAATTAAAGAAACATATATAGATTTTGGTTTGGCTCGTGCATAGAACCGCAACCGCAACTGTGACTAATGACCAAGTCCACTTACTTTACCTCAATTTTATTCTTTAATTGTAACAAAAGACCAGAATTTAAATTATAAATACTACAACACTAAAATCTCCTTAAGAGATTTGTGTGGAATTTTAATTATTATTTTTTTCCCGAGAAACGAGATACTTTTTTCTTTCGAGGAAAAGCCAATTTGAATGAAAACGTTGCGCTGTCGGCATTCAGAGGAAATATGAAAAGATGAATGCTAGGGTTGATCCAATCACAATTTTTAATAAAACATTTACCATAAAATTATAATAATAAATTTTTTTTCACTAGATGACTTGATTAGTTCACGGGCTTTATGTTACTAATTTTATAATAAATATTATTAACTGTTATTATTACCCAAGTTCCTAAACAACATAACGTGCTTAGAATGACTCGGTAGCACAGTAATTCGCGCACTGACTGTTGCGCTGAGGGTCGTGGGTTCGAATCCCACATCGGGCAAACATTCGTGTGTGATGAAGAGCTTGGTTTGCCCTTTGTCAGGGTTTTATTATCTAAATAATTAAACGTATATACGTATGTCTCTGGTATCTATAACACAGGGAATCCTAATTTAGGACCGGGCGACCGTGCGTGATTTATTTCCAGTCATTTTCATATTGATATTGTTAGATATTCCTTCGTATCTTTGGAAGTGAAGTCGTCGTGGCCTAACAGATAAGACGTCGGGTGCATTCGTGTTGAGCGATGCACCGGTGTTCGAATCTCAGGCGGGTACCAATATTTCTAATGAAATACGTACTCAACAAATGTTCACGATTGATTTTCATGGTGAAGGAATAACATCGTGTAATAAAAATGAAACCCGCAAAATTATAATTTGCGTAATTACTAGTGGTAGGACCTCTTGTGAGTCCGCGCGGGTCGGTACCACCGCCTTGCCTATTTCTGTCGTGAAGCAGTAATGCGTTTCGGTTTGAAGGGTGGGGTAGCCGTTGTAACTATACTTGAGACCTTAGAACTTATACCTCAAGGTGGGTGGCGCATTTACGTTGTGGATGTCTATGGGCTCCAGTAACCACTTAACACCAGGTGGGCTATGAGCTCGTCCACCCATCTAAGCAATAAAATAAAAAAAAAGAATCTAGAATCGTATGAAGCCGAGAGCTAAAAGTGATTTTTCTCAGGACTATGGCATGTATTCTACATTCAAAGGAATCTATCCGTCAAGGATCGTGACATTGCTTACGTGAGCTTCTAATTTTGAAGTACATGCATTCACACGCTTCTTTGTGAACTTATTTATCGTCCGACCAACATTTACAGACATTCGATTCTGGGTTGTTTGTCATTAACAAATTGTCTGTATTCAGATTCGCGTATCCGACTTTGGCACATATTAAAGACCATTTCCAATATCATCAACTGATCTGAGTGAATTTACGCGAGAAGCTGTAAAATAAGCCCGCAATAGGGCAATAGCAAAATTATAATGATAATGATGCCAACCCTAAACGTAAATCTTATCTGCGGGCGCATCTAGGGCTGGCTGAGTGACCGAGTTACATTTTTCATATTCAGTAGGTACGATGCTGAAGGCAGGTATTAGGCTAGAACCAAAGGATTTTTTGCTTTTATAACATTCAGACGATCTTTAGATACGTTATTGTTTTTTTCACGAGATAATGAGTTAGTTTTGAACAATTTGCTGAACAATAAAGAGCCACTGGTTCTCCCTCCAATTATTCAAATCAGTCATTAAGTCATGAATCCGTTATGAAATAACCTCAAATCATGCACTATCACGTACTGAATCCCCGAGTTCATGACTAATAAGGGATCCGGGTTGGCTGGTTTTTTGTTTGAAATGGTATAAGATTATGTCGTGTTCTTCTTCCATTATATCCAGTCACTTCTGACTAAATTTAATGTAAGCAATGCCGTGTGTAATATATTTGCAAATCTTTTGATTCGTTCTCACAAAATAGAAATGAAAGAGACAAATACGATGATAGGCGTTTCGTAACCGACACTATAACAATGAGCAACTTAGAATTCGTGTGGTTCGTGTCAACAAGGAGGTTAGTGGTATTTGCGTTGTCGATGTCTATGGACTCCGGTAACAACTGTACACCAGGTGGTCCGTAAGCTCGTCCATCTAAACATTAAATAAATAATAGTTTAAAAAACTAACCATAAAATACGCATTTATAGAAAATCCAACTAATAAATAGAAAATAAATTTTAATAAATTTGAATTAAAAATAGTGTAAGAAAAAATGATTTTATTGTAAAAAAGCGTGGGTTGCTTTTCAGGATATTATCAAAATAACCCTTCTACTCATATCTGTTCATATAATATTTATAACTACTGATACCATGATGCACCCCACGCTTTTTTTACAATAAAATCATTTTTTCTTACACTTTTTATAATTCAAATTTATTTTCTATTTTTTAGTTGGATTTTCTATAGAAGCGTATTTTTTAAATTTTTTTAAACTACATATTATTTATTTTTAATTTTTTAGTTGAATTTCAATTTTTCATAAAAAAAATTAAATTTGAATTGTCATCGGTCCTTAATAAGTATACCAAATTTCGAGTTAATCCGACGTTTTGAAGGGGGTCAAAATCATGTTCAAAGATTCCGTTACATACTAAAATACATACGTCAGAAGCTAATAAAAGCGTATTAAAAAGCATTAATTTACAACGAAAACTTCAGTTAAAGCAGACCAATATGCGGCACTGCTAATTTGGATAACTCAGGATTTACCGGAGTGAGTCCTCAACGTTGATACAAAAGAAGGTACTTCTATATTTCTTTTATCTCTGCTTTCCAGACTCCT